AGGAGGAGGAAGGCTTGATGGGATAGGAGACAGAAGACCAACTAAATAAACAATTCACCACAAACATGTAGGGTCACACATAATTTCACAAAGCCAAAGAAACTTGCCTTATGCAAAGGCACTGTGTCTGCATGTCAAAACCTCTTTAGGATACCACATGCTACAACAGTTGCATTGATTGCCTTCCTACATCCATGAGATTACATCTCACAACAATAATGTTTCCTGAAAAATACAACTCCTATCCTAAATCCAAAATAAACTCATTCATTCGATAGACATCATTGAAAACTTGTGTTAATCTACATAGACTCTATTGGGATGTTACTGGCACCAACCATATTAACTGAAATCTTAAAACATATAGAAATCTAATTTTGAGGTTCATAAACATTCCATTTCAATTCTATTTAAAGGAGAAGTGAAATTAAATTTAGTAAAGCCTTTATTCAACTACAGTCGTGCAAAGATTAGTCTCAGAATTTTATTTCCTAATAGAATACAACAAATTCACACAAATGTCACTACAAATACAATGAATGCTTTTTCATGCCAGTGTCACTCACCCCTGCCTGCCTGCACCCCCTGCCCAGGCTTTTCAAAATGTATTTCATACACAGAGTCACTGTTCTGGTTGTTTATTTAATTAACATGACAGCCCAGCATACACAGCATTTCTTTCAGTTCTACAGTTTTAACTTTTTACACTTTAGACTCAATACAGAAAGAGTAAAATTACTGTTTGACTCCTTCCAACCTCTGTAAATTTATATAGATTCACTGACTATTTCTGTCAGTTAAAACCGTTTTTTCAGTATGCTTTAAATTTATCTGTATATACAAAGTAAAAATCACAATTTTGTCCCCACAAACACACAAAATTATTTCCCTTTACCTTTCCCAAGGGATAAGAAAGTCTTGTGTTTTTCTTTTTTAATGTTTTCAGAAGTTGAGATTAATTAATTTTAATTCTGTCAGCAGGTCATAAATAATCAGTATTGTTCTTTGTATCACCATAAGCTGAGTTATCCTACTGAAATGTTATAAAATTAAAAACCTATGATTGTTTCTGAAATTTATTCAGTTTGAGGAATATAGTGTATTATACTTAAATGTATTAGGAACTCAAAGGACAATATAGTCTTTATTTTCAAAAGAAATAATTCTGTATTTTTATAGCCACACTATAAACAGAAGTTATACTTTTCCATATAAAAGATGTATCAAGGCCTATCTGTGTCTACCAGCAAAAAGCATATCTATTTCTCATATTTTTGTTTTATTGTTGCTACTTGCTTTTTCATTTCAAAATGTCTTTCTTACGTCAATGATGAAAAACTTGATTCTACTTTTGACAACCAACCACCAGGCTCCACTACATTCCTACAAAAATCTGTTGTTGCTAAAGATGTTTAAGAGTTTTTAGGGAAATGAACATTTTGAATTTTAATTCTACAATATAAAGTATATAGCCGTACATTTCTGATGGATACGGTATCCATCCTAAAGAATTTTGTCAATGAGTGGTCCAAATAACACGAACAGAGAGAGACACATACCTGGGGTGTACTTTGTGTGAAGCCATAGGCAAAAATACTAAATTCTTGACATGTAACCAAAATAAAATAGCACTGGTTAGGAATCTTTCAAAATTCAAAGTGCAAGGTGGTCACAGTAATTAGAGAGGAATGACCAGCCAATGGTGTTCTTTGACTTATAAAGAGAATGGAGACACCACTTCAAACACAATTTCCAAATGGTAAAAATTTCATAAAATTTTATATTGAAAAATAGCATTAATCATACAAAATATCTAGTAATTCAAGAAATTCTAAGTATCTTGCATAGTCCAGTGTTTAGACAGTGCAGTGATAGCTTGAGAGAGACATATCTGCTCTAGAACGTGAACGAACACCCACTTAGAAAAGATACATATACCATAATGGACACACATGCGCCAACCAAAAAAGTGCAGTTTGACACACTGATCTACAAAATCAGCCCGAGTCTTGAGGATACTGGACTAGTATACTACTGAACTAAAAGCCACACAAATATTACAAACTTTTCTTTACCAAGAGTCAAGATACCTCCACTTGCATTCACAGACAGACCCAGTATCAGATTAATTCTGTGACTGAGGACTAGCCCTATTTCTCCTTCCTTCGCTTAAAGCCATCTTCATCATCCACACTGCAAAACTAATCCCATGTGTAATATCCAATTTGTAGACTTAGCTATGGTTCAGGAAGGAAGGGGGAAAAGAGAGGAAAATATCTCTGTCAGTTAGTTTGTCTTACGAGAATTTTTATCATCCATTCTCCTTGACCTTTTAGAATCGAGTCATTGAAAAGAGGTAGTTCGCAAGCAAGCGGCCACTACCATTCATACAGAGAAGAAAAGGCTGAAATTCTCTCACCTTTAAACCTCGCAATGAGCAAGGTCCAAGTAAATTCTCAAGAGGCCTCTGCCAGCCTTTCTGGGCTTTATGTCCTTACGCCTCCATTTAAAATTCACTTGTTGCCTATCATCTTGAGTTGAGAACAGACGTTCTTTCATAAAGGTAGCATTCAGGGCAGGGTCATATATGTGCTTTACAAGTATTTTGATTCTTGACTTCATAAAGTATGCAGATGACAGTGTACACTTTGCACTCTTAACCAGAAGTTTGTTTCCTTATGATAAAACAGATAAGCCTTTTATTATATAGCTCCTGAACTTTTCACACAGTTAGACTAACGTATGAGATATTGCCCTATCTTGTAAGAGACTATTCCATGTTAGTTCCCACCCACCCACCCCCAATTCTACTCAGCAACAACTTTAATGAGCCGTATATGAAAACTAGTCTTAAGTAATATGCACACACTAACCAGTACCCTCATTAAAACTTCAAGGATCTAAACTTCTACTAAATGTAACCTTGTTTTTTCCATCAACCATAAGAGATCTAGTCTCTCTCACTTGAGAACATTCTTCATAAACAGTCTTAAAAAAAAAAATAGGAACCAGAGAAAATGGCCAAAGTAGATTATAAATGTGCATTTTCAACAGCATTAATCAGCAAAACATTTAAAAATGCAATGCTAAGTTGTTTTCTTGTAAGTCTGCACATTATTTGAATTTTCCATTTATCAATTCAAATCAGAGAAAACCAAGAAAAATCTGTAGGATAATTAACACTGCTAGTTAACTCACCTAAACACCTTTACATTAAATCCACTTGGAGCTCCTTAACTTCTAAATGTTGTACGGAATTTCAGAAATGTAAGAGGTTAAGTGATATTAATTTGTGGTCAAGCTATTTATGATTAAATCACAGATTTGCCTTACAAAGTATGGTTCAATTTTGCAATGATCATATCACATTCCCCTTCAAGTCAAAGAAAAGTGTTCCAACTGTAATTAAACTAGCGGTGTTTTCATTTAAAAAACATTCTCTCCTGACACTTTGAAAAGAAACTGAACTGTGTTTTCCCCCTAATTGGTTTACCTTTAAATAGATGGCTTATTTTATTCTGGTGATTTCCAAATTTCTACCAAAACTAAGTATCAGTCAGTGGCCTGTTTTTAACTTCACTCTTAGAGTAAGCTTATACCCAAGAAATATTTGCTTTATCTAAACAAAAAGCTAAATAAGTACATTTGTTTTAAAATAAACACAGAGACTATGATGCTGTCATCCATTCTGCCAAATACTGTCAAACAACTGCATTCTGTGTAATCAACTCCATTTCAAAAACAAACTAGCCACCACACCATATGGTGACTGCTAGGTCTTAGAATCTACATGATTCTACACAGAATAACCTAAAAAGAAAAGCTTACTATATATTAGGACATTCTCCCACTCACTAAAGTTGTCCTAAAAAGACCATAGGTAGGCATAAATTTAAATGGGAAAAGTGTAAATTTCCACTTGCTGTGTACATAATAAGCTCTCTACAACCCCCACCCCCTTAAGTGTCATTATCTGTTTGGAATAGAGAAGCAAACACTTATGTATACCTTTTCAGAAACAATTTGTATTTAAAATTGGGATTTGTTCTTTTATGCCCTTTATAGCAACTATATTCCATGGTCTCAAATCCCTTAATGATAAGGAGATTCATCTCCAAAATTCACTAACCTTTTTTTCCCCCCTCTAGGACTTCATTCATAATTCTCTTCTTTCTTTTTGAGAGATTTATACCACCAGCAATCTTAGAATTATTCTCCTGAATTAATATTTCCTGTATAATCTGAATAAATTCATTTGAATTTCTAAACATCCACTTAAGCGCACACTCAAGAGAAATGCTTTCTTTTAGTTGACACTAAGAGCTCAGTTCAAGACTTTGACAAATTCCGCAGTTCAGACATATTGTTCCCCAAATAGAAGTTTATCATTAGGATACAAAACACATTAGCACATAAATAACTATGTCCCCAAGTTACATTTAAAAACAAATTGGGCACCACCAGATGCAGCCTCTTCAAGGAAAACTTACCGCAAAGCCAGAAAGCGTTTATCAACACCTCACCTTCAAGCATTCTTTGCTTTTACTGACTTCCATAAACATTTGTCACTTTGGATGAAACTTTATCAAAAGTATTTTAAAAATCTAGTAAGATCCACGTGTTGAAAAATCACCCAGTGCTAAAAAGCTGCATTGGAAGATTTCTGCTACATTAGTAAAGCTACGAGAGTACTTAAGTGGAGGGAAGTCAAACGCCAGGTGTAGCACATCTAAAAAGTTGACCCAGCTGTGGAAGACCCTGCAAACGCCACCTAGTTTTGTTACTTATTATTGTTTCTGTTGTTCAGGTTGTAAAATACTGTGGGAGACGAGGAGAATACGTGTCTACTTTCCTACTAGGTCTGAAGTTAGAGCACTTTTCTAGGCTATCTTTGCTTTAGTACCCAGTTCTGGGATTCCCTCCACTTTGGGGCGAATCCCAAGCGTTTCGAGTCTTCCCGAGAGGCGAGAGGCGAGCGAGAAGAGCTTGCCAGCGCTTACCTGTTCCCTCGGTATGCAGGGCAGGGAGGTCCTCCGATGAGACTTGCTGCTGCAGCCGGACATCTCGGCGGACACCACGGAACTGGACCGCCTCCTCCTCTTAAATACTGGGATATCTTCCCTGGTCCCAGCAATCAGCTGGGACCCGAAATGCTCCCTCGGAGCCGCCCCCGCGGGCTGCGGCAAGATTTGCTCCACGTACCTGGCCAGGAGGAGCCCCAGCACGCCGGCCAAGTACGCCAGGTAAGGTCTCCAGGCGACCTTGAACCTCTCTAAGGAAATGAGGGACACGGTCCTGACCGCGCTAGTCAAGGCGATCATGAGGACGCCCAGCCTCAGCCTCAGCACCAGCCATGTCGCGGCGGCCAAGCAGCTGAGCACCACCCCCGCGGCCGGGAGCGAGAGTAAGTGATCCTCCCCGACGCCCAGCCCAATCTGGACGAGCGCTTCCCCCCCGCAGCAGGCTGCCAGCAGTGAGACGGCCAGAGGCAGTCGCACCCCGGCGCGCAGGAGGTACAAGCCCATCCAGAAGAAGGCACACAGGAGACTGAAGAGCAGCGCCGAGGGCTGCAGCCAGGGGCTGAGCGGCGCGCCGCCCCCGGGAGCACCTCCCCGAAGCCCGGGGAAGACGCCCCCTTCTGCTCCCAGGGCCGCTTCCTCCGCCGCCGCAGCCGCCACCTCCTTACTCTGCTCCGGGTCCCGGCCGATCTCCCCGCGCACCAGCCTCACCAGCAGGGCCAGCAGAAAGGACAGAGAGCCGGCGCACAGCGCTGAGGAAAGTTTCCGGGAGCGCCGGAGCGGCTGCAGCACCAGGTCTCTCCAGCGGCCGCGGCTGCCGGAGTCCCGCGGCGGTGCGGCGCCGGGGCGAGCGGGGTAGTCCCGGCCCGCGGCGGGGGCTGGATGCACCCCACCGTGGCCTGGCTTGTCTCGGACTCGGGCGGCCTCTCGGGGCACTGCCATTGTGTGCCCTCCTCACGGAATCCCCAAGGTCCCCCCGACGCCCCCACCCCGACACACACACATGCACGCACGCACCCTCTCCCTAATCCCACCCTCAGAATCCTTCCTTCTCCCCGGGCCCCCGAGCCCCACTACAAGTTTCAGCTTCCCAGTAAACTGCTGGGGAATCCTGGATGCTCCAAAGAGACGCCTTCAAGTTAAAAGCTAGCACAGACACAAACGATCAGACTTCCTCCTTTTCTCTCTTTGGAAAACTCTTAAAAATTGTGCTCCACCCCCACCCCCGATTTCTATCCTCCGGGGTCTCTTCCTACTTCAGGATTTTAAAAATTGCCCCACGCGCCCCGCGCACGGGGGCTGCAGCCGCTGGAGGAGCCGGAGGCGCGGGGCGAGTCAGAATATCTCAGGTGGTGCTATACAGGTGCTGCAGGCGCGCGCCGGGCCCGCGCGTCTGGAAAGTTCCTTTTCCCTTCCCTGCAGCTTCATCAATTTTTCTTCTCCTCGGTCAGATCTCGGCATGCATAATGAAAGGAACCGCCATTCCACAGAAAGCAAAGCCTCCCCTGCGTCTGTCGGTGCAGTCCATGGCAAAGGGTGGCAAAAAAAAAAAAAAAAAAAAAAAAAAAGGAAAGGAAGGAGGGGAACCAAGACTTGAAGTTGCTAAGTCCCGTCGGAAAGAGACACAGTCCGAGAGGCTAGCGGCAGCGGCAAGAAGGGAGGGAGGGAGAGCGAGCGAGCTGGAGAGGAAGGGAGGGTGAGAGGAAGGGAGGGTGAGAAGGGAGAACGAGATTTACTTCTTTTTTTTTCTCCCCTTCTTTTTGGTGCGATGTAGGTGGTGATTTGCAGTTTTGCAAAAGGGAAACGAGTTTAGACGACTGGTTAAAACTGTATTTAAAAAGCGGGCAACTGGAGTGATCAGCGACTCAGCTTGCTTGCTGCTTTCTTTAAGGCAACTCCCTAGGAAAGCTTTCCCAGCCGAGTTCCCGCCTCCCCCGGGAGGAAGCTGTTGTGCGCTTTGCTTCCTCCTGAGCGGGTCCCGCACGCACTTGAGCACGTTGGAGAAAGGGTTGCTGAGGCTGGTCTACCACCGCCCAGCTTACTGAAGCCAGGGGTTGCGGGTTTCTGCGGCTGGCCCTCAGGCCGAGCTTCCTAGGACGCTAGGAAAAAAGGATTGTCCTTGCCTACTTGTCAGGCAGTGGAAACTAACATGCTACCTCCTGATGACAAGCCACATCTGTCAGTGATTCAAAGATGCTTAGTTCTCAAGTCAGTTACAACAGCAAACCAATTTCAGGTGGCATTGTAATGCTCTGGCTGCTCCTGCTGGAAGGTCTGTTTTAAACAGAACCCAAGCCTTTCCTATTATTCCAAATGATGGAAAATCTCAAAAAGTTACCAAGACAGTACCAGCATTATTATTTTTCAATTTTTTTCTAATGTTTATTTATTCTTGAGAGAGAGAGAGAGAGACAGAGACAGAACATGGGCAGGGGAGAGGCATAGAGAGAGGGAGACAGAAGCAGATCCGAAGCAGGCTCCAGGCTCTGAGCTGTCAGCACAGAGCCCAATGTGGGGCTTGAACCCATGAACCGTGAGAGCATGACCTGAGCCAAAGTCGGAGGCTTAACCCATTGAGCCACCCAGGCACCCCATAACAGCATTATTAAATTGGGAAATAAGAGTTGGGGGCGGGGTTTTTTGTTTGTTTTTTCCAAATTGTTATTTGAAAAATCCAGGGCATGAGCGTATTAGGCAACAGCTGTTGATGGTGGGTGGTAAATACATGGAGATTAAGTGACCCCAGCCTCAAGAAGGTTTACCAAATTAAGAAGCCTAAAAGGAATTAAAAGAAATCTCAAGGGAGAAGTGAGGCCAGGTAGGTTAACAGCAGGAGAGCTCTGAGAAGACTCACTATGGTTGTGAAATAGTATGTCTACCATAAAGAATGCTTGTGAGAAAAAATCAGGACCCTCGTTATGAATGTTTACAGGATGCATGCTTCATATACTGTAGGAATGTAGTCTTTGAGAAACTAAAGAAAAAATTTAAAACTAACTTTTTAGGCAGATTATGAAAAATCATTCAATATCCACCCAGTGGGCCTTTAAAATCCATCAGTGTTGGGAGCTAGTTTCTTTTTACATTTAGAACATAAGAATATGATCGTCCACTCTTGTTCGTGTTGAATATGGCTACCTTAGATGTCATTTGCCTTCACTAATATTAATAATAATCCAATTTTGTCTTAATTATCTTGACATTCCAGGTTAAAGTGTGTTGTTAGCCTGGAGTATTTGGATAATTGGTTCAATATGCCACTGTATTTTGTGTGTAGAGATGAAGTAATATAAAGAAAAGCCAAAGGAGATACTTGAGATAAAATTAATTCATAGAGGTAGGGGGGAGAAGATGGCTGAAGTCTTAAACTTAGCTTTACGGGAAACAGCCTGCTCTCCTTAGAGGCAGGTATTAATATTAGTTTATGATATAAATGGATACGAGGAGCTATGATGATACAACTCTCCATCAGATGTCCAGAACTATACTATCACGTGGAGAACAAGTTGGGCAGCTAGTCAATGGCAGTGGGCACCATCTGTTTGATAATTAAGGAAACAGAAGCAACAATGTCTTTGCCAAAGACAAATGAGCCCCCTAGCATGCACACATACTTTTCTGAGTTTCCTTTTTAGAGATATGATTCATATGCCAGAGCCTACCTGGAACACTTCAGAGTAAAAAACCTTGAATGGAAAATCATGCTAATATCCAATGGTGATCAGAAACAGCATATTAAAATGAAAAATACGGCATGTATCAAGGTTAGAAAGAAAGGCATAGTGAGGGGAATTTTAGAATATTTCACTTTTCTCTCTTTCCCACCCCCACAATTATCTCAGTTCTTTAGAAAATAATCCTCATAAAAATTGAATTTATGAGAGATGGAATGTCGACATTCTAAGAAACTGTAATAGAAAAAATAAGAATGACATTTGTTAATGCACCAACACAAAAATACTAGATCTAAATGTTAAACTGACATCCTTGAGGTATTCCATGGTATTACAGAGGCAATGTCCTGGCATCTGGGCTTCTCCCCATTCTCAATGAAAATCACACCCAGAAAGTTATGTGTCCCACCCAGGGGAAATAAGGTGGATTCCCTCACCCCTTTACCTTCATTATCATCCCAAACCTGGAAGCAGATGAATGAAAATAACAAATACTCTTACTAGAGAGATGCAGAAAGCTACAACACTATACTGAAAAAGTGACAAACTTTGGGCAGAATATATTAAGTGAAGTGAGACCCAGTACATAAAGTGGACACTGAATAATCACCCAGATATAAAACTGCCTATTTTCTACAGATAGCGATGAATCCCAATTCAGAACGTGACAACACAGCCAAAGGATAAGAAAAAGGCACCCACGGGAAAGTAGAGTATGGAAAATGGAAAGGAAAAATCCATTTGGTAAAGCTCTCCACTTAGCTAAATCTAGCAACCGTGTATTCATTAGTGCTTTGTGAAGAGGATCTAGAAATCAGCCCGGTTGCATATCATTTGCCAAATATAGTTATGCTTAAGGGAATTCTGTTAAATTTTAAAAGTTTATACTCTATAGCAGGGGTTTATTCATTCCCTACTACCTCCCTGACCTCTATGCATATATATCAAATGGGTATCTAAAATACAATGCATCCAAAACAAAATTCCTGACTTCCAACTCCCTCCCTGCCATCCTCCACCAATCCCCACCACCCCAAACTATTTCTCCCCAGTCCTCCTACCATAGGAAAAAGCTTAAGCACCTGAGCGAAAAGGCTTGAGCCTAACTGCTCAGGTCCCAAAAGAGGGCACTGCCCTCAATTCCTTCTTTTATTTACCTTATTTTACTTCCAATGTATTAGCAAGTCCTTTTGATTCCACCTCTAAAATAGATCCTGAGTCCATCAACTTTTCACCCTCCCTCTTACAATAACCAACCAAAGACCCATCATCATCCCTGGCCAGGACATTGCAATAACTTTCTCACCGGTCTTGCTCTCCTACCATTTTCCACACAGTAGTCAGAATGAGAGTTTTAAAATTTTTTTTTTCAACGTTTATTTATTTTTGGGACAGAGAGAGACAGAGCATGAACGGGGGAGGGGCAGAGAGAGAGGGAGACACAGAATTGGAAACAGGCTCCAGGCTCTGAGCCATCAGCCCAGAGCCTGACGCGGGGCCCGAACTCACGGACCGCGAGATTGTGACCTGGCTGAAGTCGGACGCTTAACCGACTGCGCCACCCAGGCGCCCCAGAATGAGAGTTTTTAAATGCAAGTCAGATGATGTCACTCCCTGCTTAAAACCATCCAGAGGCTTTCCACTGAACTTGCAGTTCTCATGGCCACCTACAGGGACCTTCATGATCTTTGCAAACCACTCTCTGTGACCTGCCCTATTCCAATTCTCCTACTTCACTAGTGCCACACTGTCCATCGGAACATTCTTCAATGATGCAGATATACTCTGCACTGTCAAGTATGGTGGCAACTAGTCACATATGGCTGTTGAGAACTTGAAACATAGTGCCACCGAGGAACTGAGTTTTTATATTTTATTTTAATTAATTTAAAATTCAATAGTCTCGGGGAGCCTGGGTGGCTCACTCAGTTAAGCATCTAACTTCACCTCAGGTCATGATCTCACAGTTCATGAGTTCGAGCCCCGCATCAGGCTCTGTGCTGACAGCTCAGGGCCTGGAGCCTGCTTTGGATTCTGTGTCTGCCTCTCTCTCTGCTCCTCCCCCACTCACGCTCTGTCTCTCTCAAAAATAAATAAACATTAAAAGAAATTATATTTAAAAAATGTAATAGCCTCACCTGAATAGTGGTTTCTGATGGGTTCATCTCCTGCTCCTCAAGCCGTCTTTCCATTCTTTAGCAGGTCAAATTGAAAATCTTGCTCATGACCTTAGTATTTACAGAACTTCACACAGCTGCCTCCTTCTGC